GGTTAATCTGAATTAAATGGCATTCAATTAACAACTCATGTCTTCATTCACTTGAAAGCAATGCTCTCACATGACCTTCATTTGGGAGCCGTTCACAAATACGTTACCCTATTTTACGTGAACTTTGTGTTGCACGCAATTGGGATTAATTGGGATTAACTTTCATTTATTTAAACAACAGATTAACCAAAATATACATTACTATCACTTGTATTATATTTAGTTATTTAACGCAATTATTAAAGTATTTTAAACCATTTAATTGATGTATTTATTTGAGTATTAGTTTGAAAGCGATATTTATTGTCAATTTGATATCCGATTGTAAGCGACACGAGATTTGGTACTTTTTGTGTCAATACAAATGCCATAGAAATATAGCGAAGACTACTGTATATTATTATAGCTATAAATAGTATCAAAACTACATTCACTTAAAAGCGGGAAAACGTGTGAAAAACATAAATAAAAATAAATTGTGTCAACAATTAAGTGATCGATAATTGAGTGATAATCGCGAAGAAGTAGTGATCACTTTGACTGCGGAGGAAGTGGTGAAACGATGGGAATCCTAAACCTTTCGCGACTAATCGCCGACATCTGTCCGGAAGCCATACGAGAGGTTGAGTTGAAGTCACTGTTTGGCCGCCGGATAGCGATCGACGCCTCGATGTCTATCTATCAGTTCCTGATTGCCATCAGAAATAGGGATCAATTGCTGACCAATGACTCCGGAGAGACGACCAGCCATTTGATTGGTCTCTTCTATCGGACCATTAAATTGTTGGAAATGGGAATTAAACCCATTTATGTCTTCGACGGAAAGGCTCCGCAACTAAAGGGCGGAGAACTGACCAAAAGAGCCGATCGACGCAAAGAGGCGGAGAACCGATTGGCCGAAGCGGTCGAAGAGCAAGACTTGGAGAATATCAGCAAATTTAACAAACGTGTGGTTCGAGTGACGCGACAACACAACGACGACTGCAAGAAGTTATTGCAATTAATGGGACTTCCGGTCATTGAGTCGCCCTCCGAAGCCGAGGCCCAATGCGCCCAACTCTGCAAAGAGGGTCTCGTCTACGCCACGGCCACCGAAGACATGGACGGCTTGACGTTTGGGTCGCCGCGACTCATCCGTAACCTCACGAGCGCTAACAACGAGAAAGTGAAGGAATACTCGTTGGATAAAGTGCTCGAAGGCATGGAATTATCACACAATCAGTTCATCGATTTGGGAATTCTTATGGGATGTGATTATTGCGATAGCATTAAAGGCATCGGCGGTAAGAAAGGCTTAGAACTGATCAAATCATTTGGAAGTATTGAAGAAATTTTGGAAAAGAAGTACGGAATCACTGAATTCATTGACGTCGACATCGATTACGGCGATCGCAAAGAAGTGGTCGTCGAAAGTGAGGATAATGTCAAACAGGAGGAGAACGGAGAACAAGAAAATGGCGACAAAACTGATGTGAATGGAGAAGAGGGTAATGCTGTTAAAGAGGAAGACAATTGTGTGAAAGGAGAGGACAATGAAGAACATAAAGACAAAGAGGAATCAGACATTACTCGAGAAAATAGTAACAAAACTGACGCGAATAGAGAAGAGGGTAATGCTGTTAAAGAAGAAGACAATGGTGTGAAAGAAGGGGACAATGAAGAACATAAAGACAAAGAGGAATCAGACATTACTCAAGAAAATGATGAGGACTTTGATTCTGGAAAAGAAGACGATTCCACAGAAGATATAAACGAGTCTCAAATAGAAGACGAATCTATGACTGAATCTCAAAAGAATTCCAAACGAAACGGTAAGAAGAAGTCAAAGGACAAGAAAGGACCGCAAGTGCCGGACAACTGGCTCTTCACTGGCGCCCGAAAGTTGTTTGTCTCGCCGAATGTCTTGAAGGGAACCCTCACTGAAGCGGATCTCAAACCTAAAGATGTTGACGAAGAAGCGATCATTCAGTTCATGTGCGTTGAGAACGGCTTCAGTGAAGACAGAGTTAGGAATGCATTGAAAAGAATTAAGGAATCGAAAGGCAAATGTTCTCAGACTCGGATCGACAGCTTCTTTAAAATGATGCCAAACTCTAACCCAAAGACCAAAACTGAGAAATCGGTTTCTGATAACAAGAACAAGAGATCCGGTCCTCAATCCAAGAATGCATCCAAAAGGGGTCGGCGTTAAGCTTTGTCTCAAACATTGTCTCATTCAACGCATGAATTAATTTTTGTAAACAATTAAATTAAATAAAAATTTAATTAATAAAACAGTACTTAATATAGTATTAAACAAAAATACAGTCAATTCTATGATAGCATTGAATTAAACTACTAATTGAGAAGAAAGACTGTATAAATAAAAATCAAATACTTTGAGCCAAAAATATAACTAAAATTTGTATAAAAATATAACAAATTCTAAAACAATTGATAGATTGAGTGATCGGTTATTGTGTTTTGTGTAGATAGGGCTGAAGGCCAGTCCACGCCCTCTTCACTTGAGTCCACGTGAACTCCGGGTCCCAGAGAGTGGCGAACACAACATTCGCCTCCCGGACCCGCTCTTCGTTTGTCATTTGAGACTCGATTCGATTCAACGCTTCTTCTCGTGACAATTGATTTCGTTTTTCTAATCGATTGATGGCTTGGTTTTGATCGATAATCGAGACCCAAATTTGATGCACTTTATCGCCCCATTTGGCCTCCAATAGGAGTGCGATCTCCAGAACTATAACATCGTATTTGCCTTTCATATCATTCATCTTCTCTCTGATTATTGCCTCTAATTTTGGCCAAATTATTGCATTTAACGCTTTGAGCTCTTCTTTGTTCTCGAAGACAATTTTACCCAATTTTTGTCTATCGATAACTGAATTGGTCAACACTTTGTCTCCAAAGTGTCGGACAATATCATTATAAGCGGGAGATTCTGGACTTTCGTATGTTTTATGAGCCATAAGATCGCAATGGATTACACCGGCGCCCAGACTCGCGAGTTTGTCGGCGATCGACGACTTCCCACTCGCTATACCACCGGTCAGTCCTATAATGTAAGGAGTTTTGGGCAAATTCGGTCTCTCTTGCGGTTCCCTTAAAATGGTTCCCAATTTTCGCATTCTTTGCGACGAAGAACTAATCTTCTGTTCTTCGAAATCGCTTTCTTTGTTTAATTCATTCAATAAATCAATTTTTATCACATCCAATGGTTTCATGTTATCCTTATTCCTAATCTCATTGATCTTTTGTCCGCCGCGAAGTGTCTCCAGACTAACGACAATGCATTCAAGACTCGAGTCGACGATCGCGGGTCCAAATGGATCACTGATGGCAACGATATTGTATTTAATGAAAGGGTCGATATCTTTAACAAATTTATTTAAGTGATCGACGCGAACGTCAAACGGATCAATGAGTTCGCTAAGAGTTTTGCTTTTGATCATTGACTTATCGGTGACACCAATTGTCAGACAGTTATTGCATCGAAGTTGAGCCGAACTCAGGAGCACTTTGTGTCCGTTATGGAGGTTATCGAAAGTTCCGCCCAAACACACGAAGTCATACACAGAATCGTTGCCATCGGCTGTCGTCGTCGGCCACGAGTCTTGAGTCTCGGCGTCGCTCTCGGGAATCGTTTCGATTCGCTGTATCTTCAGATCAAACTCATCGATCAGAAATTTTCGGACACTATCTTCGCTATAATTGGTGCCATTGATGAGAACCACTTGTGGTGTGAATTGAAACAATCGCTTCAGTGGTGGCGGCGAAGAGGCGTTGGAAGCGCTGCTGAGATGTTGTTGTTGTTTGTGGTAATAGGAGTGGTGAAGAACCCTTACGTCCAGATAGGGTGCGCTCCTATTGGCCGCCGCGTATATGTGTGGCAACAATCGGACCAACTCTTGAGTGGATCTGGTGTTGGCCTCAGTGTTGGACAACAGATTTGGTTCAATGGATATGTAGAGTGTGTTAGAAATGGTTTGATTGGCAGCTCTTAAGTAAGCACTCAATCGATTCAATTGAGGCATCGATGACAACAACATTAGACCCGATTTGAACATTATTTCCCACTTTATTACAACTTATTGTTTACTATTTATTACTATTTATTAATTAGTTAATCAATTGCTAGCAAATGACAGCCAGTGATGGCATTTCATAACATGGGATCACTTGTATTGCACTCACAGTAACATTACTGCAGTTTTGCCCAAAGTTTTGCACTTACAGTACATTGAATGCAAAGTTCACTCAATTTATTGCTTTTTCCCACTAATCTTCATTGGTTTCCCACTTTCTGTCGACATATTATTAACAATTTATTATTTATTAATTACTATACAGTTGTTAAATGTGTATAGAAATGCTTTAAATTTTATAACATACGTGTAACATATTAATATATTGTATTATATATTTAGTAAATCATTATTAAGTTAATTAGTTTTATTGTTAAATAATGCCTGATTTTATGCATACATTTTGACACTTGAAATAGTTTTTAAAGTTTCAAACTTTATATGAATTAACAGAAAATTGGGTTATTTTATGGGAAATGAAACTATTTAAATACAATACTTGGACAGTAACTTTTAATGAGATAATTATTTGTTTAAATAAAGTGATCGTTTAAACCGGAACTATAGTCAGGAAAGTTATATTCTGAATACAGTCACAAACGAGTGATGTTTGGTGTCAATTAAATGACCGATCAGTTCAGTGAATTGCGATTATATTTTCATTACATCAGTTGTTCATAACATTTAATTACTTCATTAAATTTCTAACAGTATTGATGAGCCATTAGATTGAGTGACAAATAATTGTGATTATAGTATAACAAGTAGTTATTGTTTCATACGATTAGTTATATTTAATTTTAAAAATGAGATCTTATTATTTCAATTAAATCCAAACTAAATTCAGTGATGAATAGCAGTGAAAGCCATCGCACACTGGCATCACATTTATGAAACAATAAAAAACTTGCGAAACAACTTACGGGTGAATGGGATTCACTAATAGATTGAGAACATATAAAATGAATCAAACTTTTAGCTAAACTTTTATTTTGATCGCATTTGTGTCAGTAATTCAGGAATCAATTGCAAAAATGAATCTAAAGATACTGTTTTGGGTGAGTCTCACAAATGAGTTAAAATTGCAATTTATTTGTTAAATGTTTGGTGTTTTCAGTTCGTTTCAGTCGTGTATATGCTGTCCATATGTAAGCGGGCGTCTGCTGGCCATTACGGAGGACACGGCGGTCACGTGAGTGTGAAGACATATCGGGGTCCGTCGAAAGGGCACGGCTACCATAGTTTCGCTCCGTGGGGTTATTACGCACACTTACCCGCAGACAATCACAAACACGGATATCATGGATAACACACACCATTCACTCACAAATGCGATGAGAATTGAAATGTTATTGCAATTAAATCCAAACTAAATTCAGTGATGAATAGCAGTGAAAGCCATCGCACACTGGCATCACATTTATGAAACAATAAAAAACTTGCGAAACAACTTACGGGTGAATGGGATTCACTAATACATTGTAGATTGAGAACATATAAAATGAATCAAACTTTTAGCTAAAGTTTTATTTTGATCGCATTTGTGTCAGTAATTCAGGAATCAATTGCAAAATGAATCTAAAGATACTGTTTTGGGTGAGTCTCACAAATGAGTTAAAATTGCAATTTATTTGTTAAATGTTTGGTGTTTTCAGTTTGTTTCAGTCGTGTATATGCTGTCCATATGTAAGCGGGCGTCTGCTGGCCATTACGGAGGACACGGCGGTCACGTGAGTGTGAAGACATATCGGGGTCCGTCCAAAGGGCACGGCTACCATAGTTTCGCTCCGTGGGGTTATTACGCACACTTACCCGCAGACAATCACAAACACGGATATCATGGATAACACACACCATTCACTCACAAATGCGATGAGAATTGAAATG